GGGGTTTACAAGGTTTGTGGGTCTCACAGGGCTTCCAGCTTTTTTTGGTTCCGGGCCGGGTTGAAGGTTTACAGGGCTTATGGGCTTGTTTAGGGCCATAGGTGTTTAGCATGTAAATGCCCTAAACTCCCAAAGCCCCTGCAAGGCGCCCCGAACCCGACGGTTGCGGTTTAGGGTTTAGGGTTTAGGGTTTAGGGTTTAGGGTTTAGGGTTTAGGGTTTAGGGTTTAGGGTTTAGGGTTTAGGGTTTAGGGTTTAGGGTTTAGGGTTTAGGGTTTAGGGTTTAGGGTTTAGGGTTTAGGGTTTAGGGTTTAGGGTGTATAGAAGGGAAGCTCGCTGGTGCTAAAAGCACCCGGGCCGCTCGCTTGCGTTAGCATGTAGTCCCACCCCAACCACCCAAACTATTCTCATTTAGGGTTTAGGGTTCACCCCCCAAACCCCCCTCAAGGGGGGCTTTCTTGCTTTTGACAGAGAAAGAGCAGGGTGGGGCCTCCCGAGCTTTGTGGAGCCTGTCAGCGGCTCGTAGGTTTCTTGGAGCTTTCATGGAACTGGAGGGGTGCCCAAAACCGTCAAATGTTCAGTGCGGGTCTTGGCAAACCCCGACCCACGCAGCCCAAAACGCTAGGGGGAAGTAGGGGCCTTGGCCGGCCCCTGCTTACGCGTCCCAAAGAGGTCCCAGGCAGGTCCAGGGAGGTCCCACCAGATCCCTACCGAAATCCAGGCGGGTCCCAGGGGGGTCCCAGGGGGGTCCCAGGGGGGTCCCAGGGCCCAGGTTCCATTTTAGGCGCTTCGGCACCAAAAAGTGTTTTTTTGCAGGTTGCCCCCTACACCAGCCCAGAAGGAGGGGGGGTCCCTGGAATCTGCCAGCCCAGGGCCGCAGACCCCCGGGGGGTACCCCCCCGACCCCCCTAAAAAAGCCAAAACGCCCTCAACGGTGCGTAAAAATATTAGGGCTTACGCCCTAGGTCTGAGGCGAAGCCAGGCACTGCAGGCCTCGTCTACCGGGAGGCTTTACCCTCCCTCACCGTTCTGTAGAGACGCTCGGTCGGGGACCTCGGTCGAAGCCTCGAGCGCCCATGTAAATGGACAGCGGCGCTCTCGGCAGTTTAGGGTTTAGGGTTTAGGGTTTAGGGTTTAGGGTTTAGGGTTTAGGGTTTAGGGCTCGAAAGCGTCTGCTGCGCTGTCGGCTCCCTGCCGGGCATGTCACCCCCTATGCAGAGAGACCATGCAGCGCTTGCTGCAAGAGACCGCCGCATGAGGTGCGACAGAGAGGGGGGAGCCCTAAACCCTAAACCCTAAACCCTAAACCCTAAACCCTAAACCCTAAACCCTAAACCCTAAACCCTAAACCTTAAACCCTACACCCTAAACCCTAAACCCTAAACCCTGAACCCTGAACCCTGAACCCTGAACCCTAAACCCTAAACCCTAAGCCCCAAACCCAAAAACGGTTCATGGTTTAGGTTTTTAGGGTTTAGGTTTCCTGACATCTGAGCTTGAACCCTTGAACTTCATAGGCTCCTAGCCCAAGGCAACTCCAATCAATCCCCGTTGCAAGCCACTAAGCTTCAATCAACCGGCCTCAAACCAACCCACCCCACCCCCACCCCACCCCCACCCCGCCCCCCCCGCAAACTCTAAACTCCAAAACCCAACCTCTAAAAACCCTACACCCCCAAACCTCCCAAACCCACCCCAAGAAACACAATCCCCCAAACCCCCCCCCCCCCCCCCCCCCCCCCCCCCCCCCCCTCCCCCTCAAAAAAGACCTTCAACCTGCTGCCCAGAGAGCTCAAGGGGTCTCAGCCCCAGTTTTCCTGGGCCCACTAGCAGCAGCTGTGGGTGCCCCCCAAGCCGGGGACCAAGGGGTTCAGGGTTGTGGGGTTTGTTGGGGTTTATCAAGGGGTAGAAGGAGGGCTTTTGCAGGGACCCTTAATCTTATTCCCCTTTTTAACGGTCCTATATATATATATATATATATATTTTTAGATATCATAGTCCCTGTTTCCTAAGTAGCCCCCAAATAGCCCAGGCTGGGCCAAGTACACCAGATCCTTTTTCGACCAAGTTGGTCGACTTGTACCCCGAATCCCCCGAAGGTTTCGGGTTTGGCGTGCCGGGATGCGGGATGTTTTTGGAATGATTGGGTTTAGGGTTCAGGGCTTGTGGGTGCATGAGCCCTCAACCCTAGACCCGAAAGCCTAAACTCTAAACCCTAAGCCGATTTGCCTTGGTTTGCTGCATGCGCGAAAGGCATTCCGAGTTAGGGGTCTTAGGGGAGGGTTTAGGGCTTCGGGTATAGGGTATCGGGTTTAACTAGGGGCAGGGTTCTGGGGGTTGCAGGGCTAGGGTCGGCGGGCTAAAGGTTTTGGGGCTTCGGGGTGTGGGTTTAGGGTTTAGGGGTTTAGGGTTTAGGGTTTAGTATAGGGTGATTTTGGTTCTGGTTTCCGGTGCAAAGGCTGGGAGTAAGCCCTCAACCCGACACTGAGCTGCAGAAAAGGTTTGTAGGCCATTGAAGGCTTTGGAGCCCGTATGAAACCCTAAACCCTAAACCCTAAACCCTAACTCTAAACCCTAAACCCTAAACCCGAAACCCTAAACCCTAAACCCTAAACCCTAAACCCTCAAGCCCCCTGTAACTTGAAATTATTTAGAAAAATCTAAAAAACGAAACTCCTTGAAACTCCTCGAAACTCCTCGAAACTTCCCCGGACCTGAACCCTTAATACTTTCAATAAACCCTGAACCCTGAACCCTAAACCCTAAACCCTAAACCCTAAACCCTAAACCCTAAACCCTAAGGGTTTCGCCTAAGACTCCGCAACCCCCGAACTCTCCGCATCCTGCCCTGTGCCGTTGAAGGTCCAGGGCGAACGGACTTGGGTTTCGGGCCTAGGGCCGTGTCCCTAAACCTTAAACCCTCAACCGTAAAAGAAACCCATAGACCCATAGCCCGTACCCCATAACCCTAAAACCTTAATTAACGCCCTAAACCCTAAACCCTAAACCCTAAACCCTAAACCCTAAACCCTAAACCCTAAACCCTAAACCCTAAACCCTAAACCCTAAACCCTAAACCCTAAACCCTAAACCCTAAACCCTAAACCCTAAACCCTAAACCCTAAACCTAACCCTAAACCCTAAACCCTAAACCCTAAACCCTAAACCCTAAACCCTAAACCCTAAACCCTAAACCCTAAACCCTAAACCCTAAACCCTAAACCCTAAACCCTAAACCCTAAACCCTAAACCCTAAACCCTAAACCCTAACCTAAACCCTAAACCCTAAACCCTAAACCCTAAACCCTAAACCCTAAACCCTAAACCCTAAACCCTAAACCCTAAACCCTAACCCCTAAACCCCTAAACCCCTAAACCCCTAAACCCCAAACCCTAAACCCCAAAACCCAAAACCGCAGTAGCCCTCAGTCCTGAACCCAAAGCCCCAAAACCGACGCCTGCATTCCTTACTGGAGGTTCATGGTACTTTTTAAAACCAAGAAAACGTGTGCTTGTAGCTGTACCAAGAGCCACTTTAGGCACTTAAGGGGCTTACAAGTGGGTTTTAAGTACAGTCATAATTGGTTAATAAGTACCCCTAAACCCTAAACCCTAAGCCCTAAACTCTAAACCCTAAGCCCTAAAAAGACAGCGATACTTGGTTAATGAGTACCATGAACCTCCAAGCACTATCTTCACCGAGGCGCGCCGAGCCCCCGCCACGCGCGCCAAAGGGCGCCAGCGTCCTCGCGGCCCGTTCCCCTGCCAGGGGTTTACGGTTTCGGGTTTAGGGTTTAGGGTTTAGGCAGGATTTTGAGTTTTTGGAGTTTGGGGCTCAGGGTTAAGGGGAAGGGTTTAGGTAGGGGTTCAGGATTTAGAGTTTTTGGGAGCTTTGGGGTTTGCGGGACGCACTGATGTTGCATCCGCCCCTCATAAACGGGAACGGGGGCTGAGCTTCCCATGCCTTCGTGTTTCTTTTGGGGTTTAGGGTTTAGGGTTTAGGGTTTAGGGTTTGGCGACTAGTCCGGGCAACCGAAGCAATATATTAAAGAGCGGTAAAGAGCATGAGGGCAGCTCATGGGCTACTGCCTTGGAAAATTGTCTGGGGGCTTATTTCGTAAACAAGTGCTGAAAAAGGAATTCATATAAAGCTCGGCTCCAGAAAATTCTGGAACCCCAAACCCCAAACCCCAAACCCCAAACCCCAAACCCCAAACCCCAAACCCCAAACCCCAAGCCCCAAACCCCAAGCCCCAAGCCCCAAACCCCAAACCCCAAACCCCAAACCCCAAACCCCAAACCCCAAGCCCCAAGCCCCAAACCCCAAACCCCAAACCCCAAGCCCCAAGCCCCAAGCCCCAAGCCCCAAACCCCAAACCCCAAACCCATACCCCTTAACCCTAATCCCTAAACCCTAAACCCTGGAATCTGGCCAAGCCTTGTGCTTGTGGCTTGAGAGTCTAAGGTTTCCAGGCCTTCTTAATGATCACTCTTTTAGTGTTTAGGGTTTAGGGTTTCCCTCTTGGGATCCCCGGAAACGAGCTTCGCATAATTGCGGGCAACCCAACAATCAGTAGGGGTAGGGGCATGTTAAGAATCCCTGGGCGGGGGGGTGGAAGCTCTAAACCCTAAGCCCCCAAGGGCCATGGGGACTAACGAGCTAAGCGATCATTAGGGTTTAGGGTGTAGGGCTCAGGGTTTGGGGTTTAGGGTTTAAGGTTCAGTCTTCAGGGTTTAGGGTTTCCCGATGCTTTAAGTTTAAGGGCTTCGAATTTCCTTTGCCAGCCCATTTCATGATGGTCGGCCGTAGGCCCGACATCCAGCATCCCAACTGAAACCATTCACATCCCTAAGCCCCCAACCCTAAAACCTCCACTCAAAACCCCTCAGCCCAAAACGCGTCGACTGTAGAAGAAAAGAGAGCCAAGCCCTCTTAAACCCGAAACCCTCAGGTTCAGGGTTTAGGGTCAACCCAACCCCCCCGGATTGCATGGCGAGGTTATGGCGCACTTCCGCTCCCTTTTGTCACTGCTTCTCCTGCCGCTGGGAAGCGCTTGTGCTGGGGTTTGGGGTTGAGTTTCGGGCTCAGAGTTTCGGGCTCAGGGTTTAGGGTTTAGGGCTTGGGGTTGAGGGTTTAGGGTTCGCCACCCAGCGGTCCAGACACTACGAAACACCGCAGACAGCAGGGCTTGCAGAGAAAGCCGACATCAGACCTGTTGTCAAGGACGCCGTCAAAACCTGTGCCAAGAAACACCTGACACATAAGGCAGACTACGCCTGAAGAGCCTGCCCCCACAAAAACCAGTGGCCCTGTGTGTCGGGCAGGGGAGTGTTGCCTGCATGGCATCATCTCCGGGCTTGAGATTGTGAGGTGAGCCTGCTAAGTGGCAGGGCAGTCTCACCGGAAGCAGGGGCGGACTGTTGGACTCCTCCCGGATGCATTCTGGACGGAGACGCTTGAGTGATGTAGGTTGCGGAGTAGGGACAGGCTGACCCTTGCAGATAAGCACTGTTTTTCATTCAAGGCAGCGATGCTGCTCTTGCTGCCCTTCTGGGCGATGGGTCTGTTGTGACCTGGCGTCAGTTGTGCTGCGCAGGGCCTGCTCAAAGACGTGCAGCAGATCAAAACCACCAAATCTGCTTTTGAGTTTATTCATGGAAGAAATCTAGCCGTGGTGGCAACAGCGAGTCTGTGCAAGGTCAGTTGACGGATGTGCAGCAGTTCTTGCTGCCAGGGTCTTTTGTGACCTGGGGGGTTGCTGGCCGTGGTGGCCAGACCAGTGCTGTCCAAAGTCAGCTGAAAGACGTTCAGCAAACCCAAGCATCTCACGCGCCCTTTGCCGCCATTCTGGTCGATGGGTCTGTTGTACCGTGGGGCGATCCTTGCACCGGTGGTGACGGCAGCACTGTGCAAGGCTAGCTGAAAGCTGTGCAGCAGATTCAATCTACCGATTCAGCTTTTGCTGCCATCGTGGGCGATGGCTCGGTTGCGGCTTCGGGTGTTCCTAGCCGTGGTGGTGGCAGCAGTGCTGTGCAAGGTCAGCCGAAGGCCGTGCAGCACATCCAAGCTACCAGACACGCCTTTTGCTGCCCTCCTGGGCAATTGGTCTGTTGTGACTTGGGGTGATCCTGACTGAAGGTCGGCTCAGGGACGTGCAGCACATCTAACCTTCTGAAGTAGCTTCTGCTGCCATTTCGGGCGATGGGTCTGTTGTGACCTGGGGTGTTGCTGGCTGTGGCGGCGGCAGCAGTGCTGCGCAAGATCAGCTGCTGACGCAGGGCACATGACAGTGCAGCAATCGGCGTGGGCGCCTCAGGTGTTGAAACTCCTCCAACTTACCCCGTGTCCAAATCTCCTAGGACCCTAAATCCTCGAACCTTCGCCTAAACCAAACTTCCGAAACCCCAAGCCCTAAACTCCCTAAGCCCTTAGGTCTGCAGGGGTTTTGAGGTCTTGAGGGACTCAGGAACCCCAGCTCAAGATCTACACCTCCCTGCCCTCCCCCCCAACACCCGGTTCCCCCAACCCTAAACCCTAAACCCCAAACCCCAAACCCCAAACCCCTAACCCCAAACCCTAAACCCTAAACCCCAAACCCCAAACACAACACCCCGAGGCACTCGGCATGCGCGGTGAAGGAACTCTTCACCGCCAAGGCGGATGTTTGAAAGCCAAAAGCGCCGTCCCCTAAGTCCTAAGCCCTAAGCCCCAAGCCCTAAACCCTAAACCCTAAACCCTAAACCCTAAACCCTAAACCCTAAACCCTAAACCCTAAACCCTAAACCCTAAACCCTAAGCCCTAAACCCTAAACCCTAAACCCTAAACCCTAAATCCTAACTTTAAACCTTAAACCTTAAACCTTAAACCCTAAACCCTAAACCCTAAATCCTAAACTCCAAGCCCTAAACCCCAAACCCTAAACCCCAAACCCGAAACCCTACTTGGAAGCTCTTTTGTCTTAGTATGTCTACTGAGTATCCCCTGGAAACCCTTTGATAATATCCACAGCCCACCTTACTTACCCTACTTACTAAGTCAACAGCGCTTCACAGTAAATCCCAACAGCAGGAAACCCTGGAGTCCTCTTGGTACTTTTTACCCCAATCATAGGTCTACTCATAACCTACAGGGAGGACTTAGGGGGCTAAAAAGTACAGTTGGAACTGGGGTTGTAAGTACCCTGAACCTCCAAGGAACACGCCTGCTGTCCCATTAAATCCCCTTCATGCACGCCTTATCTAGTCTCTCTATAGCTATGTAGCCCCGAAATAGCCACTGAATAGCCTTGGAAACCCTGACTCTAATCCCTCGACCCTGAATCCCAAAACCAAAACCCAAAACCCTAAACCCTAAACCCTAAATCCTAAACCCTAAACCCTGAACCCTGAACCCTAAACCCCAAACCCTAAACCCCAACCCAGAGGCTTCGTCTGTAACCGACAGCTCCGCAAATCTAAGCCGTAAGCCCTAAGCCCTAAGCCCTAAACCCTAAACCCTAAACCCTAAACCCTAAACCCTAAACCCTACATCAACTCGTGTGCAGGAATTCAAAGACCTGCTGGCAGAAGCGGGCGGACGACCAATTGTCCTGGACTTCTACAGCTCCTTGCTTGTGCTTTGCAGGGTTTAGGGTTTAGGGTTTAGGGTTTCGGGTTTCGGGTTTCTGTTCCAGTCGAGGCTTCTGGGGGTGAGTTCGGGTGTAGCGTTTAGGGTTTAGGGTTTAGGGCTGACTGCCCGGCGCCTCGAGTGGCGAATTTGTTTCGAAAACGGGCACTTCCCCACCCACACCCGTGAGCTGTTGCAAGCTTTTTCAAGGGTTTAGGGTTTAGGGCCTGAGGGCCTAGGCTTGAAGGTCAGTCTTTCAGAGGTTTGGATTGCGCACGGCTTCGGGTTCGGGTTGAAACCTCAACGCCCAAACCCGATACCCCGCAAACTCCAATAATAACCTTCAAAGACTGAAGCCCTAAACCCTAAACCCCAAGCCCTGAATCCTCAACCCTAAACCCTCAACCGTAAACCCTAAACCCTAAACCCTACTAAACCCTAAACCCTAAACCCTGGATGATGCTTGCTTGGTGTCTGTGCTAGGGTCGCGAGATCCCGGTTTTGTGGGGGTTCAATATTTTGGGCTCTGGAGAGAGAGAGAGAGAGAGAGTGTGTGTGTGTATGAGTGAGTGAGTGAGTGAGTGAGTGAGTGAGTGGGTGGGTGAGTGAGTGAGTGAGTGAGTGAGTGAGTGTGTACATGCCTGTACATGTTTCAATGGTGCTATGTGGCAAGTTCTTCTTAAAACCCACCCACCGTTAGGGGGCGCCCAACGATGAGCCGAACAGTGTGGTGCTGAAAACGCACCTGCAAATCGGAATGTGCCTGGGCTTGGCATAGCAGCTGGCAGCTCCACGATTGACGATACTTCTGCCTCCCCCTACATGTGTAGGGAGATCCCGAAGTGTGTGTGTGTGTGGGTTTAGGGTTTAGGGTTTAGGGTTCAGGGTTTAGGGTTTAGGGCTTGGGGTTTAGGGTTTAGGGTTTGGGGTTTAGGGTTTGGGGTTGCGTGTTTAGGGTTCGGGCTCAAAAGGGCCTATGATGATCTCAGTGATCGAAGAGAACCGAGGTGGCCTGCCAAGACCCCAAACCCCAAACCCCAAACCCCAAACCCCAAACCCCAAACCCCAAACCCCAAACCCTAAACCCTAAACCCTAAACCCTAAACCCTAAACCCCAAACCCTAAACCCCAAACCCTAAACCCTAAACCCCAAACCCTAAACCCCAAACCCTAAACCCGAAACCCTTCGCCCCAAACCCTAAACCCGCCGAGGCATGTCCTGCGGGCCTTGTCACATGATCGCGCCGGTGTTCCGGAAGATCTCGAAGGAGCTAGCGGTTAAGGGTTCAGGGGTTTAGGGGTTTAGGGTTTAGGGTGTTAGGGTGTTAAGGTTTTAGGGGTATGGGTTCTGGGTTATGGGTGTATGGGTTTAGGGTTTAGGGCGTTAAACCTTAAACCCTAAACCCTAAACCCTAAACCCTAAACCCTAAACCCTAAACCCTAAACCCTAAACCCTAAATGCCCACCTGGCGTTCTTAGGCCGTACCCACCGTGGGGCTCATCCTTTCTTTACGACCACGCAAGCAAGGGAGACCCCCACGATCCTCTTCTTTTCACCAGGGGTTTAGGGTTTAGGGTTTAGGGTTTAGGGTTTAGGGTTTAGGGTTTATTCCACCTTGCGGCCTGTTTGTTGGGACCGGTCTCCCTGGCACAGCCTGGCACTTTCTCTGAGAAGCCCTGTAGTGGGATGCCCCGGACGGGACCTTCAGGTCTTATTGGGCCCCTCCGCCCCGGATCCGAGGGGTGAGGTGAGGTTGGTTTTGGAGGTGGGGGTGATGTGGCGGATTAAACCCTAAACCCTAAACCCTAAACCCTAAACCCTAAACCCTAAACCCTAAACCCTAAACCCTAAACCCTAAACCCTAAACCCTAAACCCTTACAGGCCGGTTCGGAGGTTTGGGGTTGTCCCGAACCCAAGGGTTCGAATCAGTGGCCCCTCCCCAAGATTGTCGGCAGACACGAACAATAGGCACTGGATGCCACCCCCCAGGGTTTAGGGTTTGTGGTTTGGGGATTAGGATTTCGGGTTTAGGGTTTGGGGTTTGGGGTTTAGGGTTCCGGGTTTGGGGCTGTAGGGTTTGCAGCCAAGAGTCATGGGAAACCAGCCGTAAACCCTAAACCCTAAACCCTAAACCCTAAATCCTAAACCCTAAACCCTAAACCCTAAACCCTAAACCCTAAACCCTAAGCCCTAAACCCTAAACCCTAAACCCTAAACCCCGCACGGGCCGCAAGGAGTTTGCTGGCAAGGCATACTTCCGTAAGGCCCAGATCCTCGTAGGGTTCAGGGTTTAAGGTTTAGGGTTTAGGGTTCAGGGGTTTGATGAGGGTTTCGCATATCCAGTCGCCCAGATCCCTAACCTCGAACTTCTGAACCCTAAACCCTAAAATCCTAAACCTTAAGTCCTAAACCCCAAGCCCTAAACCCTAAGCCCGAAAACCGCAATCCCCTAAGAAGCAGTTCCACAGGCAGGTGCTGCTCGATCTTCAGGAAATGGGTCCGTTGTTCATCCGTGTTGGAAGGGAATGGCAAGGTACTTTAAGGCCTTTAGTACCCTAAACCCTAAACCCTAAACCCTAAACCATAAATCCTCAACTGCAACCCTAAGAGCCACTAAGTTCAGGGGTTTTCACTTAATGGCTGAATCCCTTCCCCCGAATATTAACCCCCCCTACCCACAATACCGCCTATATACTCTAATATTATATTACTATCACTAATATTTCTACCATAGTACTATAAGATTCTACAACAATAATATACAATAATACTACTATCATATTCCTATATCATTGCAAACTATTACTATCATTTCTAGGGTTTAAGGTTTAGGGCTGGTTTAGGAAGGTTTTTTAGGACTTTTTTTTTGGGTTTAGGGTTGGGGTTCAGGGTTTAGGGGTGCCATTTAGGGTTTTGGGGTTCCGGGTTTAGGGTTTAGGGTTTCGAGTTTCAGGCAGAGTTGGACTAGGTGGGCTCCTTTGTTCAGGCCTGGCTGTTCGCTGAGTGTGCGAAAAACATACGGACCCCCCTACAATCCTGACATACCTCGAATGTTCACTAGCAATGTCTCCTGCTCAGACGGATTAGTATAGGGGTCGGAATCGTTGCTGAGAATATCCCCTTATGGTCCCTTTGTAATTCATACTCACCCCAAAACCCTACTCTAATTATTCAGGCCCCCTAGATTAAGCCTCTGTATCACTACACACGCAGTCATGGCTAACCCCTAAACCCCTAAACCCCTAAACCCCTAAACCCCTAAACCCCTAAACCCCTAAACCCCTAAACCCCTAAACCCCTAAACCCCTAAACCCCTAAACCCCTAAACCCCTAAACCTAAACCCCTAAACCCCTAAACCCCTAAACCCCTAAACCCCTAAACCCCTAAACCCCTAAACCCCTAAACCCCTAAACCCCTAAACCCTAAACCCCTAAACCCTAAATCCTAAACCCTAAACCCTAAACCCTAATCCCCCCAGACTGGGTCATTGTTGAAAAAAAACCATGTTTTCATTTTTCAATGAGTACTTCAACCCTGTAAGGAACAAGAATGATCATCTGTAAGTAGTACCCCAAAACAATGGTGCGGTACATTCCAAGCCCCAAAACCCTCTAAACCCTAAACCCATAATCCTCGAGGCCTGGCCCTGAAAACTAAAAAAAGCCTGGACAGACTTCCTCACTTCTGAGGGGAGGTTGGATGGTAACCCTTTAAACCCCAGAGCCTCAACCCCACCCTAAACCCTAATATAAACCCCACACCCCAAGCCCTAAGCCCTACTTCCGAAGCCCTAAGCCTTAATTTTTGAGCCCTAAGCCCTGAGCCCTAAGCCGCGAGCCTTCAACCCTACCCTAAGCCCTAAACCCTGAACCTAAACCCTGGACCCTAAACCCTGAGCCCGAAGCCGTAAGCCCTGAGAAAAACAAACCTAAGCCCTGAACCCGACCAGCCGGTTCCGTGCAGTTGCCCCCGAGGCTACTAACGTCGTCAGGGCCAAAATTGCTCGGTTTCGGGTTTAGGGTTTGGGGTTTAGGGTTTGGGGTTTAGGGTTTAGGGTTTAGGGGTTTGGGGTTGAGGGCCTGTTCCTCGAATGCGGCGTTAGGCGAAATGCTGTGCAGGGCACAGCCATCACGCTCAAGGGCCAAGGGTTTTACAAGAGCTGCACGGTATTTCCGAACCCAGCTACAGAAACCTACTCAGCCCTAAACCCTAAACCCTAAACCCTAAACCCTAAACCCTAAACCCGAAACCCGAAACCCTAAACCCTAAACCCTAAACCCCTATCCCCTAAACCCTAAACCCTAAACCCTAAACCCTAAACCCTAAACCCTAAACCCTAAACCCTAAACCCTAAACCCTAAACCCTAAACCCTAAACCCTAAACCCTAAACCCTAACCTAAACCCTAAACCCTAAACCCTAAACCCTAAACCCTAAACCCTAAACCCTAAACCCTAAACCCTAAACCCTAAACCCTAACCCGAAACCCCAAACCCTAAACCCTAATTTCCGAATCCCTGGCAGGTGGACGTGGCCCGGAACCAGCAGCTGGCGCACCAGCAGAACATCCGTGCCTGGGCGCTCTACAAGGTTAGGGAAGGTGCTTGGGGGATAAGCCCGAAACTCTGAACCTTACTTGGAGGTTCAGCGGGTACGTATACCTCCAAATATAAGTTCAGAACCTACTTGGAGGACTTAAGATGCTTATAAGTAAAGTTCTAATTGAGGCTATCCCAAGCCCTAAACCCTAAACCCTAAACCCTAAACCCGAAACCCGAAACCCTAAACCCTAAACCCTAAACCCTAAACCCTAAACCCTAAACCCTAAACCCTAAACCCTAAAGCCCTAATTTAAGAGCCTCCGGCTCAAGCCGCCGACCCCGCTGGAGCATAGTTGAAAGGTTTAAACGCGCTCGTCAGCTCAAAGGATGCCAAAAGTTGATTTGCTTGAGCCTCTGTGAAACGTTGGGGGGGGGGGGGGGGTAGGGGTAGCACCAAGACCCAAACAGGAGCTGAAGCCGCGGCGGGGGGGAGGGGGGGTAGGGGGGGGGGGTAGGGGGGGGGGGGAAAGGGTGGGGGAAAGGGGGGGCTGCGTTGGTTGGGAAGAAACGTTGGGGGAGAAGCCAAGCCCCCATCACTTAGCCCAGCAACCGGCAAAAGGGGAGGGGGGGGGTCAGGGGGCTGGGTCCTATGTCCTGCGCGAAACCGCCTATGATCCGTGAGTTTATGCCGTGTGGGTGGCCTGGCCCTCCATGGAGCTGCCCGGGTACCCCCCCCTACCCCCCCCCCCCCCCGCGTTTTGGGGGGTCAAGGAGGGAAAGAGGGAGGCTTTCACTTCCTTTTCCCATCCAACACGCTGCCAGGGCGGACCCCTAAACCCCCAAACCCCTAACCCCCAAACCCTAAACCCTAAACCATAAACCCCAAACCCTAAACCCTAAACCCTAAATTCAAGGGCCTCCGGCTCAAGCCGCCGACTTCGCAGGAGAACAAGTTCAAGGTTTGGGGTCTGGTGGATTGGGTTTGCGGTTCGGGTCTGGGTGGGGGGGTGGGGGGGTGGGGGGGTGGGTGGGGCCAGAGTGCCGGGGCGGGGGGGGGGGGGGGGGGGGGGGGGGGGTTTTTGGGTGGACAACGGAGCCCGACTTGGTAGCCCGGTTCAAGGTTCCCCTAGACCCTGAAGCCTAAGCCCTGAACCCGAAACCCTAAAACCTAAACCCTAAACCCTAAACCCTAAACCCTAAACCCTAAACCCTAAACCCTAAACCCTAAACCCTAAACCCTAAACCCTAAACCCTAAACCCTAAACCCTAAACCCTAAACCCTAAACCCTAAAAAACCCCCTAAACCCTAAACCCTAAAACCCTAAACCCTAAACCTAAACCCTAAACCCTAAAAACCCTAACCCTAACCTAAAACCCTAACCCTAAACCCTAAACCCTAAACCCTAAACCCTAAACCCTAAACCCTAAACCCTACCCTAACCCTAAACCCCTAAACCTAAACCCTAACCCTAAACCCTAAACCCTAAACCCTACCCCTAAACCCTAAACCCTAAACCCTGACCCTAAACCCTAAACCCTAAACCCCTAAACCTAAACCTAAACCCTAAACCCTAAACCCTAAAAACCCTAAACCCTAAACCCTAAACCCTAAACCCTAAACCCTAAACCCTAAACCCTAAACCCTAAACCCTAACCCTAAACCCTAAACCCTAAACCCTAAACCCCAACAAGGGTGCACTTTTGCCCCTTTTTTTGGTTCAAGGTTCCCTGCTAAAGTCGCCAAGCGCCCCCCAACAGGGTAATCCTAGTGCAATATGATTCGTGGGCTACCAAGCCTCAGTGTGTTTGGGGTTTAGGGTTTAGGGTTTAGGATTTCGGGTTTAGAGTGTTTTTGCTTTTTGGGTGATTTCGTTGCCCTAGTGCGTGTCTGGGTGTGTTTGGGCCTTGCAGAGCCCCGGAAACCCCGAGCCCAAAAACCCGAAACCCTAAAACCCCCTCACCCTAAACCCCTAACCCTAACACCCTCAACCCTAAAAAGCCCGAAACCCTAAACACCCTAAACCCTAAAAACCCTAAACCCTAAAAACCCTAAAAACCCTAAACGCTAGAAGGCCCGAAACCATAAAAACCCTAAACCCTAACAACCCTAAACCCTAAAAACCCTACAAACCCCAAACCCCAAACCCTAAACCCTACAAAACCCTAAAAACCCTAAAACCCCTAACCCCCCACAAAAAACCCTAAAACCCCAAACCCGGATCCCTAAACCCTAAAAACCGTAAAGCTGTAGACCCTAGACACCAAAAACCCTAAAACCCCTGAAAAAAAGCACAGAAAACCCTAAACACCACCCTAAAACACTCCCAAAAACCCTAAAACCCCTAAACAAAAACACAAAAAAACCCTAAACACCACCCTAAAACACTCCCAAGAACCCTAAAACCCCTAAAAAAACACAAAAAACCCTAAACACCGCCCCAAAAAAAACTCCCAGGTTCCATGCCGACTTTTCAGTTCTGGCTCCGCGGCAAGAAGCGGCACCAGTTCTCCGGGGCGGACGAGTGCCCGGGTTTAGGGTTTAGGGTTTAGGGTTTGGGGTTTAGGGTTTAGGGTTTAGGGTTTGGGGTTTGGGGTTTAGGGTTTGGGGCTTAGCAAAAACACAAGATATTTGTCCTTATAGTTTTTTTTACATTTTGTATGTGAGGGTTCTTGAGCAAGTAGTAGCTTAGGGTTGCGGGGGTTTGGCGGCTTCGTGGCTTCCCTCCGATAAGCAGGTCAAGGGCGTTTGCAGTGGGCAAGTCGTGAGATTGCAACCCCCACCGAAACCTGAGCCAGAAGCTTCTGCACGTCGTTCCGCCTCTGAACTTGCAAGCTCTGGAAAAGGAAGGTCTACGAATGTCGCACCTAAACCCAAAGTCCTAAACCCTAAGCCCTAAGCCCTAAGCCCTGAACCCTGAACCCTGAACCCTAACCCCTAAGCCACGTTGTAGCTCACAATCCACCGAGCACTCAGCCCGCGGGAGCATCGTTCACAGTCACAGGAGCCATCATGCTTCCGAGCCCAACACCTTAAACCCCATAGACCCTGAACCCTAAACCCTAAACCCTAAACCCTAAACCCTAAACCCTAAACCCTAAACCCTAAACCCTAAACCCTAAACCCTAAACCCTAAACCCTAAACCCTAAACCCTAAACCCTAAACCCTAAACCCTAAACCCTAAACCCTAAACCCTAAACCCTAAACCCTAAACCTCTCTATCATAATGAATTTAAACCCTAATTCAAAAGTGGGCAACGGTGATTTTCGGCCTCAAAAGTGGGCAACGGTGACTTTTTTGGCCTCAAAAGTGGGCAACGGTGACTTTCCTGGCCTCAAAAGTGGGCAACGGTGACTTTCCTGGCCTCAAAAGTGGGCAACGGTGACTTTCCTGGCCTCAAAAGTGGGCAACGGTGATTTTCCTGGCCTCAAAAGTGGGCAACGGTGACTTTCCTGGCCTCAAAAGTAAACCCTAAACCCTAAACCCTAAATTCTGAACTTTTTTCCTAAACCCTAACTCGACAAAGCCTAGCGGCGAATCAGCGGCCGCTCCCCTAGATTGTTTGCAGATGTGAACACAACACCCAGAGGACAGGGGGGGAAGGGGGTGTGGCGGGGGGGGGGGGGGGGGGGGGGGGGCAGGCGGGGAGAGGGCAGAGGATCCGGAATCCCCCGCCCCTCATGCTCAAGATGCGCGCCGGAGGGGAAGCGGGGAGGGAGCAGCTGATGCTCATGATGCTCGACCCCCAGCTGATTGGATGCGTGCCCGGGCCCGCCAAGGATCCCCAGCTGATGCTCATGATGCGCACCTTTCCGGGTCCGCGATGCTCATACCGGACTTCTTTTTTAAGCGCCGGGCAACCAGGATATGTGGAAAGATTTGCGAAAAACATTGTATTTACGGCAGCTTCGCGTGTTTTTGGATCCGCGCAACGGCCTAAGTCCGCCAAGGCAGCGGAGATATGCTGGTGATGCTGGTTGTCCCGCGGCCCTACCCTGGACGGGCGGAGGAAGGGTGGAAGCGAGCCGACAGCGGCCCAGCTGATGCTCATGATGCGCGCTCGGAGGGGGTGGGTGGGGGGGGGAAGGCCCCAGCTGATGTTCGTGATGCGGGCCGGGTATGCTGTGGGTTTTTTTGGGTCGGCGTCATAATATGCGAATTCATGAGCCATAGTCCCTTATGCGCATATCTACCCATAAGCCTCTCAGTAGGGTTGCAAGGAGAAGAAGGTTAGGCCCTGGATTGCACAGAGGGTCCATAGATTTTGCTCGGATCAGATGTGCAAGATCTTTGAAATTGATCCGCAGACGTGAACAAGGATTTCAGTAGTATGATGGCTTGCAAAACATTCCCCCACACCCTAAGCCTTAAAACTCCCAACCTCGTCCCCGCAGGTACTCGCTGAGAGAGTGGACGCAGAAGCTCGTTCAGGAGGCCGCATCTATGATCAGTTTCCTTTCAAGTTGAGGTGTGGGTTTGGATGTTCCCCCTAAATCTAACAGTCCCTAACAGGGATTATAGTACCCCGCATTATCATCCCTATTAAGGGGTATAAGGGGGAACATCCCAAGGTGTAGGGTGAAACACTATGAGCCCTAAACCCTTTGGAATCCCCTTGGCCCGCTAACTCGGCGAGCCCTCAACCCCTCAATTCCTCAACTTCCCTCAACCTCAAGCCCTTAAGCCCTACGCCCCTCAAACCCAAACCCCTCAACCTCTTGCAGCCCTTAAGCCCTAAACCCTAAGCCCTAAAGCCTAAACCCTAAGCCCTAAACCCCACTCTATCAGGGAAGGTTGGGGGCTGGAGGGTTCCGAAACCCCAGGCCCAAGACCTGTCAGGAAGCATCTGGGACGCGTGATGTTTAGTTCGAGACTGACTTAGCCAGTAGTAGAACTTTAACCTTTTTGGGGTACCTTCTTTAGTAGGAAGATTACAGTTTAACCTTTTGTGCTCCTTGGTTAGTGTGCATGTGCACCGCGAGCATGACATTTACAACGTTATTTACAGTGCTTCGTGTACGTGACATGCCGCAAACATCGGTGGACGCAGCGTTTTCGGCGCCTGCTGTTTCACAGCTTTCTTACTTCCTTCTTTCATCGGTATCTACAGTGTTTGTGGGTGACATGTCAAAACCACCATAAAATCACCAACGCGTTTGCTCCCAAAAGGAAGCATAATAATTTAGAGATATCGACATACCGCTGATTTAAAGACAGCCCAAGGTGAACCAAAGCAATCTAAGGCAGTATGCAAACCCGTGTTCGAAACTACAGGGGGGGCTCATATGTAGTCTCTGTCACGAAGCGGCTTACTAGAATGATAAACACGGAAATGGAACTCGCTTCATGATACAACAAAGACGAAGTTGACGGTAGACAGAGATGGCGAGCAACGGATGCTTTCAGTTCCGACTCAATATGAAACCAGAATCATACTTCCGGTGAATAGATGATAGAAAAGTCCTTGCACTAGGGTCAAGGGCCGGTTTAGGGTTTAGGGTTAGGGTTTAGGGTTTAGGGTTTAGGGTTTAGGGTTTAGGGTTTAGGGTTTAGGGTTTAGGGTTTAGGGTTTAGGGTTTTCGGTTTAGGGTTTAGGGTTTAGGGTTTAGGGTTTAGGGTTTAGGGTTTAGGGTTTAGGGTTTAGGGTTTAGGGTTTAGGGTTTAGGGTTTAGGGTTTAGGGTTTAGGGTTTGGATTGACAGTCGTAAGCAAACGGAAACTGTACGCTCATGGTTGGAGAGCAAATGTCAGGTCAGATGTTGGGCAAACAAAATTTGTTCTCACCATTTCAAGAAGTTAAGTTGAAGCGCTTCAGACTTTCTTTGAACCCTAGTTTCATTAGTTTTGCTTTTTAACATTTGGAATAGTACATCCGGAACTTTTGAATGGAATGAACACCCCATAGAAGCCCCATTGAAGAAGGGCTAAAGAAAGCTAACTGTGCAGCTCTGGCATGTTCTTCTGAGTGTTTCCGAGCTCAGGTGAAGGAAACGCAATGATGTAAGCATCAATCTCGGGGTTTCGTATCATATGATAGAACCCTTCACCCCTTTGCCTGCTTGCAATTCGGCAAGAAACACATAGAACGTGTTCAATGTTGTCCAAGCATAGACATGTTCGGTTTCATGCATATTTGGGTGTAGGGTTTAGGGTTAATTGATATAAATCACTAGCGCAATCTTGGTTGTTGACAGCTCCGACGTAATCCGCTCCTCATCAGAGAAGCTGTTGTCTTCCAGGTAAACTGTTGCTTTGCAATTCTCTGCTAAACCCAAATTCCGAAATCCTACACCCTAAACCCTAAACCCTAAACCCTAAACCCTAAACCCTAAACCCTAAACCCTAAACCCCAAACCCCAAACCCGAATCATCCCTACACCTTCGAGGCAGATCGGGATGACATCATTGTCACAAGAGAAGCACTGGAGGAGCCACGTTCACCACTCTTTGCTCCGGTTTCGGGGTTTAGGGTTTGGGGTTTTGGTTTTGGGTTTGGGGTTTAGGGTTTAGGGTTTAGGGTTTAGGGTTTAGGGTTTAGGGTTTAGGGTTTTTTTGTTTAGGGTTCCTGTATTGCCCGAATATTGCCCGAATATGGAATAATAAGCCGGAACAATGCAACGTGCACTTGCAACAATTGGCAATGCGATGTGCACTTCACACAATGCAACGTGCATATGCAAATAGTAGGTCAAGCGTGATCGCCCATCTATAGGGTTTAGGGTTTGGGGTGGGCTTTCCGGATGCACCAGATGGTTCAGGAAACAGCGGTTTTCTGGATTGAGTCGGGGCGGCACAAGAGGCTGGAGGAACGAGGTCTCGGGGGTGGTTGTAAATCATATTGGGGGATGGTTAAAGAGGTACGCCTAGGAAGGCCTAAGCCCTGGATCCTAAACCTGTCCCCCGAAGCCCTTAAATCCCAGCTTGCTTGCTTGCCGTTCAGGCTTCGGGCTGAATACCCTAAACCCTAAACCCTAAACCCTAAACCCTAAACCCTAAACCCTAAACCCTAAACCCTAAACCCTAAACCCTAAACCCTAAACCATAAACACCCTAAACCCAAAACCCTACACCCTAAGCCCTAAACCCTAAATGATAGGGGCACTTCCGAAAAGAGAAAGGGGTGCCCTCTATGCACCCCAAGATACCATCGAATCCCTATGTTCGGAAACCTCCAGAAAGACGCCTGAACCCCCAGAGCTCCTCAACCTGCCAAGTTTAGGGTTTAGGGTTTGGGGTTTAGGGTTTAGGGTTTAGGGTTTGGGGTCTAGGGTTTTTGGAGCTTCCATGGCGTAGATCCGTGCCCATATGTTGGGATGTTCCCCCTTGTACTAACAGTCCTTAGTAGGGATTATAGTACCCCACCCCCACTATAATTCCTATTAAGGGCTGGTCGTATAAGGGGGAACATCCCAACCCATGCGGCTTGTGCAGGGGGCCTTATTTTGTGGCTTTGGGGCAAACCGCTCGCATGTGTCTCTGTGTGTGTGACAACGCCACACAGACTCAAGCCTCCCCCCCACCCCCGGTTCAATTCCCATGTGACTTTTTGTGGATTTACGTAGGGTTTGGGGTCTAAAGGTTTCTTGTGCGGGAGGGGGGGAGGGGGGGGGAGGGGACTTGGTGTTGTTACTGAAGTACAAGCCAAAGCCTACCACGTCCTAAACTGCAACCTAGACCAATGAGTGTCTGCATCGGAATTCTTAGCCCGATACTCTGAGGGTTTAGGGTTTAGGGTTTAGGGTTGGGGGAACAGGAGTTCTACCAGAAGCATGACCCTGGCAAAGCCACGAAAGAGAGCCTGGACAACATCATGCAGAAGAACGGAAAGGAGATCGAATCTCCCCAAACCCCCCTAACCCTAAACCCTAAACCCTAAACCCTAAACCCTAAACCCTAAACCCTAAACCCTAAACCCTAAACCCTAACCCTAAACCCTAAACCCTAAACCCTAAACCCTAAGCCCCAAACCCTAAACCCTAAACCCTAAACCCTAAACCCTGAACCCTGATCCCTAAACCCTAAACCCCCAACCCTTGCAGGGTTCAGGGTTTGGAGGGAGCCCGAAGCCCTGAGCCCCAAACCCTAAACCCCGAACACTACTAACATCCTAAAGGGACTGAAAAACCCTAAAGTCCAAAAACCCTAAAACCCAACCTGAACGCCAAGCCCTAGAAAAAGCACAACCCCAAACCCTGAGCCCTAAGTCTTCAACCCCAAGCCCTAAACCCCGAGTCCTAGGCCCTAAGCCCTAAACCCAAAACCCTAAACCCTAAACCCCAAACCCTAGACTACAGGCTCTCTGTCAAGAGGAATTTCCGGCTAATGTCGCCCTCGGCATCTCTGCCCAACCTCGCTGAGCTAAGGTTTAGGGTTTAGGGTTTAGGGTTTAGGGTTTAGGGTTTAGGGCTTAGGGCTTAGGGCTTAGGGCTTAGGGCTTAGGGCTTAGGATTTAGGATGTCGGCGCGGAGGGTTTCAGGGCTTCGGGCTCCGCGTTTCGAGGCTCTCGGTTCGCCCCAGGCTTAGGGCTTAGGGCTTAGGGTTTAGGGTTTAGGGTTTAGGGTTTAGGGTTTAGGGTCTCTTTAGGGGGCTTACGAAAGTAGGGGACCCCCAAAATAAGCCCCAAAGAGTTGGATCCCCTCAGAAAGAGGACTCGAATTGGGTACCCCTATTGTAGGAACCCCCCCCATTTTTTGTGCTTTATTCTTCTTTTTGTTTTTTTTTTTTGGGGGGGGGGGGGGGGGGGGGAAGGCACCAGCCTGGGTCCAGGGTGTATGGTTTAGGGTGTAGGGTTGTGAAAAGGGTTTAGGGTTTAGGGTCTAGGGCTTAGGGTTTCGGGTATAGGGGTTAGAGCATAGGGCTCAGGGGCACGGGGCATTGGGTTTAGGGTTCTGGGGCAAGGGGGTTAGGGGCAAAAGGTTTTGTCCCAGAGCATGGTGAGCAACGGCATTGCTGCACTCGGAAAGAGGTTGCCCCAGAGTGTCATGCACATCTTGAACCAGGCACTGACGGTTGCGGAAGCTGCTTGGTCCAATGCTCGCGCAATTGAATACGCTAAGCCCTCAACCCTCAACCCTCAACCCTCAACCCTCAACCCTCAACCCTCAACCCTCAACCCTCAACCCTCAACCCTCAACCCTCAACCCTAAACCCTAAACCCAAAACCCTAAATGCCTCTATGGCCGCTCGGGTTAAAGGTCGGCGTCCCTGTTTCCTTGAAAAGCAAGCCAATCGGCCCTTAGACCGTGGGTAGGTATCATTTATTCTATCATTTGGGGTTTAGGGTTTAGGGTTTAGGGTTTAGGGTCCAGAACCCCAAACCCAAAACCCGACGCAAAGGAAGCTCACCACAATTCACAAAAACAACAGGATGAATGAGCAAAGTTTCCTCAGGCTTGTGGATTCGTCATCCATATATTGTTTCCGCCCGACAGCGCGAAGCGTCGAAACCCCAAACCCCAAACCCGAAACCCCAAACCCCAAACCCCAAACCCTAAACCCAAAACCCAAAACCCTAAACCCTAAACCCGAAACCCGAAACCCTAAACCCCCAACCCGAATCCCGAAATGCAGGACTTTCCCACCATGGTGCGCTTGCTGAAGAAGAAGTACGGCGAGGCCGAAGATGAACGCTGGGGATTTCAGGGAATGTAGAGTGTAGGGTTTAGGGTTTAGGGCTCAGAGTTTAGGGCTTAGGGTTTAGGGTTTAGGGTTTAGGGTTCGGAGTGGTTTTGGGGCTCTAGGGTGTAGGGTTCAGGTGCGGAGCTTCTTTTTCAAAGGATTTCTCGGGTATAGGTTTTATGGGTTTCCCCTGTGCGTGGAAGCCCTAAACCCAAAACCCTAACCCTAAAGCCCCAAACACTGAACCCTAAACCCTAAACCCTCAACCCTCAACCCTAAGCCCTACACCCGAAACACCCCAAACCAGTTCATGAGGGTCGACGGCCATGCCCCCGCAAGGGATGGCAGCCGACAAGCCCTACCAACGCGTCGAGGGGTTTAGGGTTGAGGGGTTTGGGGTTTAGGGTGTAGGGTTTAGGGTAGCTCATTAGGGCCAGGGGCTCCAAACACCCTAAGCTCTGTGAGCCCTCTAAGGGTTGAGGGTTTTTGGTTTGGGGATCCACATCCAGAGTAGCATCACGCCCCGAACTCCAGTTCCATGGCCCTGAGCCCTAAACTCTAAGCCCTAAACCCTAAACCCTAAACCCTAAACCCTAAACCCTAAACCCTAAACCCTAAACCCTAAACCCTAAACCCTCGAAGTTCGGGCCGAAGATCCAATTCTCCTGCGCGCAAGGCACCGAAAACCACACAGCGACCGAAGCCCGCAAAGGACGTCCGCCGGCTTGGGTTTCGGGTTTCGGGTTTGGGGTTTCGGGTTTGGGATTTAGGGTTTCGGGTTTAGGGGTGAGTGTTTCGGGTCTCGGCTTAGGGTTTAGGGTTTCGGGTTTCTGGTCTGGGGTTTCGCGTTTAGGGGTTAGTGTTTCGGGTCTAGGTTTAGGGTTTAGAGTTTGGGGTTTAGGGTTTCGGGTTTAGGGTGTAGGGTTTCGGATTTAGGGTTCTGGGTATCGCGTTTAGAGCATTAACCCTGTCAACCTCTTTGAAACCTCAGCCCCATCAACCAGACCTCAACCCTCAACCCTCAACCCTCAACCCTAAACCCTAACCCTAGCTACTAGACACCTCCAACCCTAAGCCCTCAGCCCAAATGGTGTACGAAAATAGGGGACCCCCAACATAAATTGTAGGATCCCGTTTAGTACGGACCCCAACAAGGTACCCTGAATTTCGGAAACCCCCAAAATTCTTCCCTAAAACCCTAAACCCGCAACCCTAGACCCTCAACCCTCAACCCTAAACCCTAAACCCTAAACTCTGAACTCTCACCCCTCCAAGCCCTGAGTCCCAAACTCTTCAGAAGACCCGGCCTCAAGATGTGTGCCAGGAAGCTGACAGCAGCAGCAGCGGCAGCGGAGGAGGTGACGCGCCTGTGTTTGTGGCTTCGGGTCTTCGACCCTAAGCCCTAAGCCCTAAGCCCTAAGCCCTAAGCCCTAAGCCCTAAGCCCTAAACCCTAAACCCTAAACCCTGAACCCTGAGCCCTAAGCCCTAAGCCCTAAGCCCTAAGCCCTAAGCCCTAAACCCTAAACTGAGTGAGCCGGGGCCGTCGAGCAGGGCGAACGCACCGAAGCCAGCAGGCGAGGGAGCTCCGGAGCCAGAAGCCCTCCGGCTGGCGGTCGGGCTCTGTCGGGCCTTCAAAAAAGGCTCCCGGAGCCCGAGGGAGAATCGGCCACTGGGATGCCACCAATCCTCCCCCCCCCCCCCCCCCCCAGGGTTTAGGGTTGGTTTAGGGCACCCCCCAAAAGTGTGAACCTAGGTTCCAAAGCGCAAAACTTTGGGTCAAAACTTGCGGTCAAAACTTTTTGGGACCCAAGCCCTATACAATTTCTATAAGCCCTAAACCCCAAGCCTCCCTCAGCTCAAAGCCCCTCATGCCCCTGTTTTTTTGGCGGGGGGGGGGGGTTGAGGTTTTGGGGTTCGGGGTGTGAGGGGGACTTGGGTTTAGGGAAGTCTTGGGCTTGTTAGGGTTTAGGGTCTATGGTTTAGGGTTTAGGGTTTTCTCCATCTGTTCCATCTGCATTGTCACCGCGGCTCGCCAACTCAGCTGCCCATGGCGTCGCTCGCTACGCACGCATGGTGCACGAAGGCGTGCTGAAGCAGCCGACGGAGATGTTTCCACCCACAGGCGCCGAGGCTGAAGAGGCGGACCGGGCAGCTCTGGCGGAGGTCTTCAATCTATGCTTTGATGGCACATCGTTGGACGACGCGGTCAATCATGTGGTTGTGGAACGGGATCTGCTGCGACATTTGTTGAAGCCCAGCGACCGGTTTGGGGTTTAGGGTTTAGGGTTTAGGGTCAGGGTTTAGGGTTTAGGGTTTGGGGTTTGGGGTTTAGGGTTGAGGGTTGGGGTTCACGGTTTAGGGTTTGGGGTTTGGGGATAACCCCAAACCCTAAACCCTAAACCCCAAGCCCAAAACCCCAAACCCTAAACCCGAGTTTGTTACCTAATCCCCCGTTCACCGGCCCCTGCCCAGGAAAGGCTGGACCGAACTTGCAGGCTGGCCTGTTCTTGGGATTAGGGGTTTAGGGTTTAGGGCTAGGGTTTAGGGTTTAGGGTTTCGGGTTTCGGGTTTAGGGTTTAGGGTCTAGGATTGCAGGGCTCAGGGTTGCAGGGTCTAGGGTTTCACGGCTTCGGGTTTTTGGGTTACAGGCTCCGGGGTTTTTTTGGGCTTTAAAGGTTTGCGTTTACGGATTCAGGGTTTCAGGGTCTCAAACTTTTCTCAGCGTTTAGGGCCTAAAGGGCTTTCAGGGTTGCTTGAGGGTGTTTGGGTTGAGGGCGTCCTTCTTTGTTGGAGGGTTCAGGGTTTAAAGCTTCGGGTTTCGGACGTGTCCGGGCGTTTGGGGGTTTAGGATGTTGCAAGAAGTTTGGCTTGCGGGCAGGGTACTGGGAGCTCCGAAACCCTGAGCCCCAAACCTTCTATCCCTAAACCCTAAACCCTACCTCCAGAGTCAACCCTAAACCCTAAACCCTAAACCCTAAACCTTAAACCCTAAACCCTGAACCCTGAACCCTGAACCATAAACCCTAAACCCTACAGCCCAAAACCCTAAACGCAACCATGAAGCAGCACATGGGTTCTGGCTTTCGGTTTCCATTCAGGCTTGGACTGAAAGCTTGAGCAACATGTGGGTTTAGGGTTTCGGGTTTAGGGTTTCGGGTTTACGGCAAAAGGGTTCACTGCGCGGGCACTCAGAGACTCTTCCAGGCCGCCTCCCTCGACGAGCTGAAGCACGAGCTCGAAAGGAGTGGGTTTAGTGGGGCGGTTTAGGGTTTTGGGTTTAGGGTTCAGGGTTCAGGGTTTAGGGTTTAGGGTTTAGGGTTCAGGGTTTAGGGTTTAGGGAGAGGGATTTTGGATTTGCGGGTTTACGATATTAGGGGTACCTTTTTGGGGTCCTTAGTAAAAGGGGATCTTACTGTTTTGGGGGCTATGTTAGGGATCCACCTATTTTCGTAAGCATTTGGGATACCTTACATTTTTCGTATTTGGGCTTGTAAAGGGTTGGCGAAAGGTATATAAAGGGCAAGCCCGTTGCTTGGCTACCTAGGGACTCGGGTCTTGTGATTTGGGCAGTATGTATGGAATAGGACTCATCGAAGTTAAACGTGTTTTCAAATCAACCACAGATTTTAGGGACATATGTGTGCATGCATGCATGTTTGCATCTATATGTATGTATGTAGAGGGCTTACAGGGCGTGTAGGTTGCATCGTGCAAGGGTGGATAGGGCTTATAGCCCTGAACCCTAAACCCTAAACCGGTCTTGGGTCCCACTTGAGGCTCTAGAGCCGTCGGAGCCCCCAAACCCCGAAGCCCGAAACAAACTCACTTGGGGGTTTCCGAAATTCGGGTTTAGGGTTTAGGTTTTAGGGTTTAGGGTTTAGGGGTACCTTATTGGGGTCCTTTTGAAAAAGGGAATCCTACTATTTGCGGGTCCACGTTAAGGGGATCGGGTTCTTCCCAGTCCCCCCATTTTCGTAAACCCCTACTTAGCACCTCGACAGCATCCTGAGCGCTCAAGCCTAAACTCCGAACCCAAAACCCGAACTCAAGGCCCTGGGCCCTAACCCCTAAACCCTAAACCCTAAACCCTAAACCCTAAACCCTAAACCCTAAACCCTAAGCCCTAAGCCCTAAGCCCTAAGCCCAAGCCCTAAGCCCTAAGCCCAAACCCTAAGCCCTAAGCCCTAAGCCCTAAGCCCTAAGCCCTAAACCCTAAACCCTAAACCCTAAACCTAAACCCTAAACCCTAAACCCTAAACCCTACACCCTAAACCTTGGCAGGCGAGAGGAGGAGGCTGCCGAGGTGAAGGCAGAGGAGGAGGAGAGATGGTTGTTGTGTTTTTACTATGCTTATTATCATCATTATTATTAATATTATTCTTACTATTATTATTATTAATATTAATATTAATATTATTGTTATTATTATTGCTCTTATTTTTCTGACTATTACTATTCTTCTGATTATCAGAAATGACTAATTGTTATTCTTGTTTTTGTTGTGCTTATTATTGGTGTTTTTGTTTGTTTAGTGTGTTTTTCTTGGGTAGGGGAGGCCTTCAGTTTTTTTTTTAAAACTCTGTAAACCCTAAAACACGTGTTTAGGTTTTTTTTGAAGAAGTCGAAGTTCTGGGGTTGCTTCAGTTTGTTTTTTTTTCGGGGGGGGGGTCTTCGAAGGGTTCCCTTTCACGTGTTTGAAGGGTTCCCTAGGGTTTGGGTATCGGGGGGGTTTGGGGTTTCTGGTGGAGTTCGAGGTTTGGGGTTTTCAGCAGGGAAAAAGTGAGCCCCACCGCCTTCGCCGGTATGAGGGGCGACCCTTTTTGGGCGGCTCCCGTGAATCCGTAAACCCGCAAACCCGTAGTCCCGTAAACCCCTAAGCCCCTAAACCCCCAAAACACAAAAGACCTAAAACCCCCCACTCGACCCCTAGACCCCAGTACCTCGCAGTCGCCTTGTGGCCCAAGTGTCCCTGAACCTTGTGGATGCCCCAAACCCCAGATGGGGGATGACTGGGCCCCAGTGTTAGGGTTTGAGGATTCAGGATTCAGGATTTAGGGTTTAGGGTTTAGGATTTAGGGTTTGAGGTGCCAAAAATTGAAACGGGCCCAGGGGCCTAGATTTCGAGCAAGTGGCCCTGCACCTGCTGTGCCCAAGTCCCAACGGCCACGAACTACCCTAGCCGTTTCGGGTTCAGGGTTTAGGGTTTAGGGTTTGGGGTTTGGGGTTTAGGGTTTTAGGGTTTAGGGTTTAGGGTTTTAGGGTTCATCCTCGAAACCCTGAGCCCCAAAAATCCCCAAAACAGCCAGACCCCTCCGCAACCCACCACTTCTGCGGCCATGCCCCTCACTTTGCGTGTGGCCCTCCTGAGCGGCCACGAAGTTTGTCTTCCCGGCTGGCAGCCGGACTGTTCGGTCGAGGAGGCGCCGAAACCCTCAAGGTCCCCAAAACTCCAAAATCCCACACACCCTAAAACCCGAAACCCTAAAACCCGAAACCCTAAACCCTAAACCCTAAACCCGAAACCCGAAACCCGAAACCCTAAACCCGAAACCCGAAACCCTGAACCCTAAACCCTAAAACCCTAAAACCCTAAACCCTAAACCCTAAACCCTAAACCCTAAACCCTAAACCCTAAACCCTAAACCCTAAACCCTAAACCTTAAACCCTAAACCCTAAGCCCTAAACCCTAAACCCTAAAAGCCCTTGACCCCTCTTCAAGGTGCGGCGCCGTGCCCAGATTGAGCTGGAGACCCTTGGACACCCCAAGTTGAGATCAAGCAGGGTTCAGGGTTTAGGGCTTAGGGTTTAGGGTTTAGGGTTTAGGGTTTAGCGTTTATGTAAATCGGCAAACGCCCCCAATGTACCCTTCATGACAGCAGTATTAAATCCGATAATGTGGGGGTATGAGGGTACGGACCCTACTCAAGCCCGAATGAAGCCCTAATGAAGCCGTAATTAACCCCTGATTACGCCCTAATTAATCCCACTAAACCCGAAACCCAAATCCAAACCTTTTTCCGGGTTGGTTTTCAGTCCTCGAGGATTGGTCCTTGCCATTTGGTTGCAGCCGGGGAGGTTCTTCCGCCCAGTGCCAGGCGCACGGCTTTTCGGCGGGGTCGGCAGGGGGGGGGGGGGGGTGGGTTCGGGGCTCTTCTTGAAAGAACTTAAACCAAGTTTCGGTAGTAGGGTTATGTAGTATAATCTTTTTTTGTGGAACCTGATCGGGACCCTGAATTTTGACCCCGCCCCCCCCCTTTACCGTAGTAGAGTTGTACAATGTATTCACTGTGCAGTGTCCTCACTGCACCTACGGCAACTAAGTTCTTTGTCACGTCTCCCAAGTTCCTAACCTGTTCTAAAGCAACCTTTTAAACTTTCAAACTTTTATTGTGAATGGTCACATAATCATACATATTAGAATAAATGTTCATGCGCAAAGAAGAGGAAATGTTTTCTCCAAACACTAATATACATATATATATATATATTTAGACACATATGTAGATGAAAGAAAAACTTATCCAAAAAAACGTGTGCTGCTTGAAGTTGCTGGACGACGGCCTGAGGATGAATGCGTCCCGGACTCAGACTCTAGTAACAGGGCTTACAGGGTTGGGCTATATAGTCCACCGTCCGGTTCGGACGTAGGTTTTGCTCCGTCCGGTTCGGACGTATAGGGCTTAAAGGGCTTAGGGTTTAGGTCCCCCGTCCGGTTCGGACCTAGGGTTGCTCCGTCCGGTTCGGACGTATAGGGCTTAAAGGGCTTAGGGTTTAGGTCCCCCGTCCGGTTCGGACGTAGGGTTGTTGCGTCCGGTTCGGACGTAATTAGATTTTAAGGTTTGGGGTTTAGGTCCACCGTCCGGTTCGGACGTAGGGTTGCTCCGTCCGGTTCGGATTTAGGCTTCAACCCTAAACCCTGTAGAGACCTGACTTTAAAGGGCCCGGGCGGGATCTGATCGTCCGGTTCGGACGTAAGTTTTCTAAATCCTGCGCCCTCACCTTACTAAACCCTGTAAGGAGACTAAATTTATGGACTTAGGTGGGGTCTGATTGTCCGGTTGGGACGAAAGGCTTTTCTAATTATAAACACCCTAAAATCCCTGTAACTGTAGAGAGTGTGGGGTTGGTCGCATTGGCTCGGACGTAAGGTAGTTCGAAAGGCTACACCCTAAACCCGAAACTGACCCTCTAGGGTCTGATCGTCCGGTTCGGACGTAAGGTTTCGAAGCCCTGCGCCCTATAAATCCTACTTACTAAACCCTGGAATAGAAATGATAATGTGGGGTCTGATCGTCCGGTTCGGGTGTAGAGTTTTTCCAAACCCTGTAACGGTAGAGAGTGCGGGGCCTGATCGTTGTAAGTTTGTTCGAACCCTACTATTAAACACTGCAGGGTCTGATCGTCCGGTTCGGACGTAAGATTTCAGGATGTGGGGTCTCATCGTCCGGTTCGGACGTAGGGATACTAGGGTAGCAGCAGTAGTAGTGGTACTACTACTAGGACTATTACTACGACTACGAGGACGACTACCTCTCTTCGTGGTAAACCGTGTTGGCGCTCAAACATTGCTCCGAGTTTTGTCTGGATACCGTTGTTTGTGGCTGCGGCTTCTTCGTGTGAACAAGTGTTTTGCGTTTGCTTCTTGGAGCACATTTTCTTGCGGTTCCCTTTCTTGTTACAGACAGGTGCTTCTTTGTCACATAATAAGACCACCATAGACCACCTGGTGTGAGCAGGTTTTGTGGCTTTTTTGTTTGCCTGCAAGCTGTTCCGCTCCAGTCCTGCACCGCTCGAAGCATCGCCGGTGCAGGACTTGAGCGGACCAGCTTGCGGGCAAGCAGAAGAAGCACAAAATGTGCTCAAAACAAGAATGTTTGTAACTAACACGGGCACCCGCGGAAAACGCGCACAGAATATCACTCTTTTACTGTTTCACTCAAAGCATTACCGGTGCAGGACTTGAGCGGACCAGCTTGCGGGCAAGCAGAAGAAGCACAAAATCTGCTCACAACCATTGTCCTTAACGAACCTTCCAGGAGTGGTCTGTGACAAAGAAGCACAGTGATTACAAAAGAATATCGCGGAGATGTTTCTCTGAGCACGTTTTGTGCGGCCCTCTTTGTTCTTACATGGGTCCTTCTTTGTCAGAGACCTTCTTGAGGAATAAGGCCACCGACCTGAGCAGGTTCTGTGCTTCTTCTCCTTGCCCTGCAAGCTGGTCCGCTCAAGTTCTGCACCGGTGATGCTTCGCGTGCACAGTAAGAGAGGCGAAAATCCCTGAGATTCCCTGAGCAATCTTCCTCTGTGCACGTTTTGTGCGGGTGTCTGTGTTGTTACAGACCACGCTGCTCTGAGCAGGTTTTGAGCTTCTTCTGCTTGCCCGCAAGGTGGTCCGCTCAAATCCTGCACCGGTGATGCTTTGAGTGAAAGAAAACACTTTGAATAAGAATCCTCGGGGTCTTTCTGTAAGCACGTTTCGTGCGGGGGCCCCGTTGTTGTTGCAGGCAGGGTTGCTTCACAGGGTTCGTTATAAGGGCAATTGGTCTGGGCAGGTTTTGTGCTTCTTCGGCTTGCCCGCAAGCTGGTCCGCTCAAATCTTGCACCGGTGATGCTTCGTGTGAAAGAGAAAACCTTTTTAAACCAGAATCACAGGGGTCTTTCTGTGAGCACGTTTTGCGGGGGTCCTTTGTTGTTGCAGTCATAGGTGATTCCGTAATAAGGACAATTGGTGTGCAGCTTTTGTGCTTCTTCTGCTTCCCTGCAAAGCTGGTCCGCTCGAGTCCTGCACCGGTGATGCTTTGAGTGAAACAGTAAAGAGTGATATTTCTGTGCACGTTTTGCGCGGGTGCCTGTGTTCTTACAAACATTGTTGTTTTGAGCACTTTTTGTGCTTCTCCTGCTTGCCCGCAAGCTGGTCTCAAGTTCTGCACCGGTGATGCTTCGAGTGAAAGAAAAACCTTGAATAAGAATTCCCGGTCCTTCTGTGAGCGCGTTTTGTGCGTGGTCCTTTTGTTCTTACGGTGTTTCTGTGGCACAGACCGCTCTGCATAATAAAAGTTCGTAATAAGGCGACCTGCCTTGAGCAGGTTTTGTGCTTCTTCTGCTTGCCCGCAAGCTGGTCCGCTCAAATCCTGCACCGGTGATGCTTCGTTTGAGAGAGAAAACCTTTTAAAAGGGAATCGCCGCTGCCTTGCTCCGAGCACTTCTTGTGCGGGCCCTTTGTTGTGGCTTAAGGTTTGTAATTGACATTGTCTGAGCAGGTTTTGTGCTTGTTCCCTAAACACCAAATCCCGAAACCCTAAATTTCCCTAAGCCGTGCT